CTGTAATTTGAAATCGCATGAACATGAACAACTCTAAACAAATATATTCCGAGTGGGGTTTTTCATTGTCCATACATTTTCTATAACAAAAATAGCTGTTTCTCACAGTGGAATGTGAGATGAGTGCAGTTCTTTCTTGCAGTGGGAGGAAACCAGATCACACAGACATGCATCCAAAATAATGATAATAAATGTATTTAATCATAATTTCTTTCCTGTGAATAGATATTTGTATAGTACTGCCCAACAAAAATACACGTATTCTTTACTGTTGACAAAAAAAATCATTCAGCAAAGCATTACTTATCAATTTAATCAATTGGTAATTGCACAATAGAGTACCAACACCTGCCCATCATTATCTAATGCAAATCGTTTCTAAATTTCAAGTTCAGAAAAGCTCAAATGCAACCTTTGACATGAACAGGCCAGCTCCTAATTCATGCAGAGGACATTGGAATGTGGTTACCAAGTGTGTGTGTGTTGACCTAAAGACTTGCATCTATTGCAACAGAGAGAGAAAAAGAGATTATGCGGGCACAGCCAAAGTTTAACACAAAAGTGTAGTTCTAAAAGGAATAAGACAATAAGTAAATTATATGGATTATGTAATAGCATACAATGCAACAATGAGTGATTATTGCCAAATTCTACACAAGTAACAGCAAGTATGCTCACTATGCTCATCTCTTAACATAAAAAAAAAAAATAATAAAATAAATAAAAAAATGCAACTGCTGCTACGTTTCAGGGTTCAGTCAGATTTTAGTCCATTTCCAAATGACATTTTCTTTATTCTTAACTCGACTGATGTTTTTCGGTTTGTTTTTTTAATTTTTATCTCCTATTAATTATCTATAAAATGCAAGAGGTTTGATCCTCAGGAAGTTATGTGTGGATGAAATGCTCAAGAAATAAAGTTGTGTGTATATGTAAAACAAATGCGCACATTAACAGGTAAACACAACACGTGAGCGCACCCAGATTGTGCTATTTTTCAATTTCATTTAACATTAGAGTGTGAATATAGAGCAGTGAAAAACAGGGTAATTTCTCTTCATCCATCAGTGATTAGATTAAGTTTCTCAATGGCTTCTTACCACTTCTGCTTAGGAGATGAAAGCTCCTGAAATGAAGTGTCACTGCAAATTACAGGAACAGCCAGATGAGGTCCATTGCAGTCCCACTGGCTAAATTTACCCATCCACATGGCATCGAAAATAATCACTACTGATTGGCTCAGAGTAAAGTGACAGAAATTGGTGCTGATGTAGCATTTTTGTTAAGGGATTGGCTGTAAGAGTGAGGTTGATGGGAGTCACACAGGAGTCCAAGGCGTATTCACGCATCCCCACACAGAAGACAAATGGAAATAGTTTCCAAAACCAGTTCTATGTTAGGCAGCAGATGGAAAGCAGCACTCTTACCATCAAGTATCGCTTTGAACATATTGTTACGTCCCCTGGCTCGTTCTAGGAGATATAAGGGACTGACATAAAGGTAGACAGTGAATCCAGGAGTCAAAAGTCATTTAAAGAGGTTTTTTCTGGCTTCAGGGAGAGCTCAGGCCAAAATAACAAACAAAACAGCCCTAAAATAAAAGACAAAAAACAGAGGTGCATGGCAGACAAATGGCCCAGAGGCCCTGAAGTGCAGCTTCAAAGGCCCTAAATAGAATGCAGGTGATTGCTGATAGGACTCTGACCCAGGAAGCAGAACACAATCCTCAAGGCAGAGCCTAAAACAGAGCAAGATATGATTTGGGTCCAAAAACACAATTACATCAATCTTGGCTCTTAAGCCCCCTAGTCTTCCTCTCTGGTGTCATTTTCCCAATATACTAAGGTGTTTATTGAACACATTTTGGAAAGATTCTCATAATAAGAAAACAGAATGATTACAGGCCAGTAAAAACTTATGTGCTGACTTAACAAAAATTCATCTGAATAGTACAAATTTTATTGATGCAAGATAAAGGTGGGCATTTGATTAGTCAAGAAGCTATGCTCTCTACTTTTTTGGAAGGAAAGCGTATTAGGATATATCTTTTTATCCAGTTCATCTTCAATATCCTTCAGGGTAGTTAGATCTTAACAAAATCAAAGTGATTTGTTTTTACTGTCAGGCGAATTAAATAGTTGCAAAACAAAGTTTTCAATATCAATTGCTAAGAAAACAAATTAACTTGGTTAAATTCAAACAACATTATCTGTCTTAGTGGAGCAATCACACAACATAGTTAATCAAATTCCACACTGCTCAACAATCCATTGTACTGAGTGATTTCCATCAGAAATGACCTGCTGCCTACTTTCAACAGTCACAGCTAAATGTGTGGCTTAAGCTTGAATAGAAAATTGTAATTAAAGTTTAAATAGATAAAGTGATTGAAACTATTACTTTCCGTCAATATCCATAGGCCATTTGTCTTCCTTTATATATAAGCACTGGAGTTTTTTATCAAAAAGGTTTTTTACCTTTTTTTAAAGTTGTTTTTGGACTGTAGTTGAGGATTTCGGATCAGTTATTTGAGAGGGAGGATCACATCTGTAAATGATTTGTCTTTCTGTCATTGATGAGTGAGGAGAGAGATCTTGTACTCAACCCTGATGGATATTGGACTTTTTAGAAAGCGCGGTGAGATAACTGTTGTTGCGAATTGGCACTATGTAGATAAAATTTAATTGAAAACAAATTTTAATTGAATGTGATTATTTGCCTTAAATTGTCTTTCTTTTAGTGTATGAATTTGCCTGTATGTGTACTGCTTTATTAATCAAACAGCTAACCAATGTTTGTAAGTGCGTTTTTTCTCACAGTATACCATATTTCATATATTCAAGAATTGTTCAAATGTGTACGTATTAACTAAGAGAATATTACATGTCGTGCAATTGTGCTTTGAGTGGTCAGCTACAAAAAGACTATCCACTATTGACATATAATTTATAAGTTGCACTAATTTGCCACCTAACACTAACAGTACAAATGGTTTTGACAATAAGAATGCAATTAATGGCAACTGAAAATTGTTAGGTGAGATCTCTTTTTGAAAAAATAAGAAGCAACGTGATCACTTTACAGATATTAGTGATGTGGAGTCAGGATTTGCAGGGGAGCTAGTGCCTCACCTTATTTTCAAAAAGTCCACACTTCTACACTCGATCATAATAGAATTTCCATAATTTTATTTCTCCATAAGTTTTGAGTTTCGCAATGAATCTCTCTATTGTCATTCTATGTGTGCGTGTGTCCATGAAGTAGATACCGGTCCTGCAGCAATGTGGTTATTCCTGCCAACTGGAAAGGAAGGAAGGCAGCGGGGGGTTTCGCTACTAGCTGCCGGTGCCACAAATTGGGCCGAACTTTATGGTCAAATGGAGAAAAATACTCTGTTGGGTTGTAAATCTGATTCTGATTAACTCATTGCGTCACCAATGTTGAACCTTACTGCACGTGATTGAAATTATTTTATTTTTTATTACAGGGAATATTAGCCGATAAAACCAAGTCCTTCATACTAACCTGGAACATTTTTCACTGGAAAGTTTTGTGTTCAAAGTTGCATGGAAAAATAGGGGCTTCTCTCCTCTATTTGAAATGTACCATCAGTAGGTCCTGAAGGTAGGGAAATGTTGCAGTTTTTTCCAGGGACAGGACTCTCTTCACATTCATCATTGCCGAAATTTGCCTTGAAGAATTCCGTAATTCCGCCGTTGTCTTCAGGAAATGCTTCCATTACTCTCAGGATCTGAATGTCTGTGAGGAGCTTGAAGTGTGTGTGCATGCTCCTTGGCAGAAACAAACAGGGCCACTTACTATTAATGTCCTCCACAGTGACAGCTGGTGTATAGTCGATCCTTTTGTGCTGCAGATAAGTTGTTTCCATCAAGTTTTGCATTTCTCCCCTTCCTGCACCTGCAAGACCATCATGTAAATTTGTCATCTTTTGTCTCAGGCCTTCAGGGATTTCTTCAGTTTCCTCTGTGGTATCTTGTGTAGCCATAGCAGTCTGCCAGCCCTAAAGCTGGTATAGCCCTGTAGTATTGTTTGATATACTATGTTAAACAAGGGTGTTGTTCCTGTTCAAATGCACCACGCGCACGTTAACCTGGTTTAGAAGTGATTCATAGCCTCCAGGTATCATTAGCTTCCCGTCATTCCAATGTATCAGCAAATGATTTTGAGTATTGTCCAATGAGGCACTGTGTCCTTGTGGGGTTTGCTTCATATTTTTTTCATATAATCCACAAGTACTCAAACAAACTGCCATCTGTCAGACATTGAGGACTTCTTACCACTTGTAACTATTGAAAGCAACCCAGGTGGCATTTTATTTGCAGTTCACCTAAAGTGTTTCCGGACAGTTTCTTATTTTATATTTTTATTTTATGTTGATGTGTGGAGATGGTAAAGGAGAAGGCATGGGACTACTACTTTAATGGCTTCTAACAGATGTGGCGCTTTTGGGCAGCTGCCTGGGTTGGGTCTCAACACTGCTCACTGAATCTAGAAAAAATAACAGAAAAAGCATAAAGTCTTACCCTGACCAAATCTATCATTTGAACAGAGTAGTGCAAAGCAATTACAGACACACAAAGGCCTGGAAGAGACAGGTTTGAAAAATACAGTGGACCCCAAGGTGAGATGGAAGTTCCAAATTAACTTGTCATTTAGGGAATGCTGAAACGCCCCTTTGAGGGCAGTCATGTTTGAGCCAGATTCAGCAGCCAGTGTGCAGAAATCTATGGCCACTCTATGGCCATCAGCTGTTTCCTTGTTTGAGGGTCACTTTGCTGCTGCTTCTTTGCTAGCATACAGGCTAAATGTTTGCTCGAATAAATTGAAAAACTCTCTGAAAGAGTATACCTAAATTTTGGTTTTAAAAAATTGCTTTAGCCCACCTCACAGCCTTATCTTTGAGCAGGCAAATTACATATGAAATCTTACTTGCGTCATCAGAGAACAACTGTAGGACAAAGTTTCTAGCATTTGTTCAGTTCCCGACCGAATGGCTCTGGTTCGCACTGTGTCCCTGGACATGGAAGCCCTGGAGGAATCTGTGGAATCAACAGAAGGGGGAAGTTTAGTTGGGGGAGTGGAAAGGTGTGTATTCAGTTCCTGCATTTGCTGAACTAGTTGGTTGAGGGTCTGGATAATTTAGGTTTGTTGTTGCACCATATTGGAGATAGCCAAATCGTGTCGGTCAAGGAGGGCTCCTAGTTCTGACAGTGCAGATCATAATTGTGCCGCAGAGGCATTTCGGCCAGCTGGTTCTGTCGTGATCAAAGGACTGACTCTGGTGCAGGCACAAATTACTATCCAGACGGAGGTGAAGTTAAAAGTTTGATTTTCACTTCGAAATCAAGATAGCATACTGGACGTTCAAGATCAGAGGGAGGTCTTAGTAGGACCAACGGAGAGATCACAGGGCTGAGTCCACAGGAATGATGCCTGAAAGGGAGTGAGTGGCTCGAGGAGGACAGTTTCTCATCCGTCCGATCAAGACAGGATGACGGAGGGTGGACACTCCGGGGAGGACTCCAGAAGCTGCCAGGAGGACTGACTTAGAGGAAACTCGCACGAATGAAGGAGGACAAAAAGTAACGTTTTTCACTCTGGATAACAGATACTCACTGGAGCTGTTGAGCCAACTGGTTAGTTACCACAGCATAGAATTGAACCAACTGGCGTCAACCCCGGAGAACCTGTCCCTAGAAATACTTCCACCTGATTGCAGCAATTGGTACCGGCTAGAGGTTCGCCTTGCCAAAACACACCATGAGGAGGAGAAAGCTAGGACACACGCAAAGTTTCAGCAGACCACCCAGTGGCCCCAACATATTTATTCTCAAATTCCATCAGATGCAGTTTTCATCCAAAATACGGCTTGTCTGGGTGCTTTTTGTCTCCCCTCTGTTCCTGTTCGCATTTAACATCACTTGTAATTGAGGGCTACACTGAATTGAGGATTTGATCCCATTTTGGTGTTATCATTCTTCTTGAGCATAAAATTCCACACCTGTCTGCTTCACCCTGGCTCAGACACACTTTTGTGTTTCTTGCCGTGGCAAATGTCACTGTAAGGCGTTGTAATGTTTTTGACCATGCTACTCCCACAGAGATGATGGTGGATCATATGATTGCGCAGTAGTTCTGGAACTTTGCACTCCAATGTCAGATTTGTCTGACACCCCTCTAATACAGACTGTTTCGGTTTTGCTGTCTGCTCCTCTCATGACAGTCACATATTTAGCTTGATCAAGAAACGCTTCTGCTTAAGCAGTTGAGTTGATTATTTTCACTGGGGCCTATAGAAAGGCAGTTGGTAAGTCTTTGACAGTTTACACAGTTTACAGATACGGCTTTGGGGTTGTTTATGATTTTGAGACACTTTGGAAACAGATATTTTTTGTCAAATTTAATGGAAAACCAATTCAAATGGCTCTCAGATTACAACATTACTTTTGGATAAAAAAGTAAGCTGGAAGATAAAGACTTTTCAATTGCTGTTTTGTCTAAACTTTTTTGGAAGTTGCATGTTAAACTATATTAAATCTATCTAAAAATATCTGTTATGTGCAACATTAACGAAGTTTGTTTGTGAAAGATTAAATAAAAAATTATTCTTTTAGTTAATTTGATTTTTATTCTTAAAGTTGATTCACAAATAAAAACAACCATCATGTTTAAAATGTGTTAAAAATGAGCGAGTGACAAAATTGCTGTCATTAGATGATAATATAGAATTTAATTGTGTGTAAATTTCCCCCTTCTTTTATTTTTTTATTTTTATACTTACTTTTAACTGTTCCTTTCGTTGTTCATATAATTATGCTCACTAAAAGTTTTTGGGGGAAAATCATTTATCTTTAGAGAGCTATTTATTTTATTTTCTTATTAAAATCCAAAAGACTGGATAGTCAAACTCTCATGACCCTCCTAGTATCTCCGTAAAGGTAAAAAACTGCCCCACTGTTCCATGAACTAGGTTTAGTAAGTGTTTCAAATCCCCTCTCACAGTCTGTGGTCCAAATCCTTTATACATAAATGCATGCATATATGTATTTATTTAATTATGCATTGCATTATGTGCGTTGACACAGTCTGTGCCCCAGGTTCTTGCCAGTTCATCCCTAGCAAAGATTGTCTGTTTTCTAAGGTATATGATTATACAAAATCTTGCTTTTCTTTTTTAGATTGAAGAACAGACTTTTCATGAATAGCAGACACTTTAAACATCTGGTCAGCATAATTTCCTCCATTTCCTCTTTCTACACTGTCACTATGCTGCCTAAGGCCTAAAAGTCTGTGAATAAATTACCTCGTTGAGCAATTAATGTGTATAGTTTAACCTTTCATCTTAGCTTCCAAGAGAAATCATTTCGACTTCATAACCCTGGTCATCAATTACGACTTAGTTCATGAGCCAACCTGAAAGGTTAATAAGTATAACCTTTTTTCTTGTCTCTCCCTTGTGAAATATATGTCTAAATTATAAGTCTATCTGATCCCTGTTCCACTCTTCCATAAAGCACTTTAGAAGTTCACAACTATTTGTATTTCAATTAAACATGTGTCTGTTGGTAACCTTCTGCTGGGCATTCGGATTGATTGAACTGGTCAGAATAACTATGTCTGACAGGATGAAATACATTATTTTTAATTAGGCCACAATGGATCAAACCTATTAAATACGTTATTTTTCAAGCAATTTGAATTCTCCAGTGAAAAGACAAGTGGTTTCTCTTGATAAGCAATGTAAAGAACAAACTGTAGAAAATACACCATCTTGGATATATTTAGATTAATTGTTGTAAACAGACCTCAGAAACTTTAATTTCATGAATTCAGGCATCATGGAAATGGTCAGTGTGATTAATCATCACCCAAAATAGTTTTGCAGAAATACTAAAAGCAGAAGAGGTAGAGAACTCTGTATCATAGCTTGTCAAACAGGCATCCCATGTGGAGAAGATGTTGGTCTCATGGCTTGTGTTATCCTGTTCAGGTGAATCTCTCTGTGCTTTCTCAAACTCTTCCCTACAGATTGCAGATAGTAGAAGCAGTCTACTTTGATTGTTTTTAGATTTCACATTAAGTGGAGTGAAGAGTACAAAAAAAAGAATCCAATGAAAAGATTTTTTTTTACTTTTTGAGAATGATTATTGGATATTAAATGACAAGATCTCATTTCTAACCCTGCTGCAATGGAGTAAACACACAGAAACACGTTAGGGATGAAGAGGTGAGGCATAAGTTAAGCAAGTGGAGCATAGACCTGAAAAATGTGTCCTTAATGTTATGAGGATTGAGGAGGCAGTAGTTATGTAAATTTACCTTATGTGTCTTTTTTTTTTAATCTCCATCTCACAGAGCGTGCCCATCTGAAATGGCAAAAAATTTAGAAAATTCCTTTGCAAAAAATCTTTTCCAGAACAAAACCACACCTTCAAACCCAAAAGAAGTGACTCAATGGGGGCCTTGGATCTGTATTAAACTAGAGATGAACAGAATGGGACAGACCAGTAGAAGTTTAAAATATTTAGTCAATGTTATGTTTTTGTCTAATTAGATGGTAGCATTATTAAGCACAAGATGGTGAGAGGGTTTTTTGCAAAGTTGGCATAAAATCCAAGTCAACCTCAATTAACTTGTATTCAATGCTATCTTCACATATCATACTGGAATTACATGAACTTGACATTTACTAAATGTGTCTATGAGCAATAAAATAAGTAGTAGGCTGCCTTGGACTTGCCGGCACGGTGGTGGATCGGTGGTTGCTCTTGGGGCCTGTCAGGCCTTCTGCTTTACTCTCCTCGGTGCTTGTTATGCACTTGTCTGATTGGACTTTGAGGCACTTTGCTGGGGTTGCGTGCTGGAACGTGCTGGAATGGAGCTCGAGCTTCACATTACTCTTGGGGATTGGGCGGGCCTTCTGCTGGGAGTGCTTGGGCATTCAGGCCTTGGGTCCCATGCCTGGTGAATGCTTGGATGCCCTGGGCCCAGTGGGCCTGGTATATTGTCACTTCTTGTTTAAGGTGCTTTTATTCTGTGTCATCCTCATTCAGTGAGGTAGTGTTAGTAAGTTCCGGTGGCGTCATGACCAGATCTTTGCTCAATTGGCCGACGGCATCGAGCAGGCAAGGAAAAGGGCAAGACAGCTGTCCAAAGGGCGGTGTTTCATACATTTTACCAGGGCAGGAGAAAGTGGAGCAGCAGGAGGGAGGAGCAAGGGGGTCCTGGCCATGGCAAATGACTGGGAGATGCGGGCAGACCTAAAGAAGCAGCTCAAATTCCCCGAGAAGATAGCCCACACTAGCCTGAGACCAGACATTGTTCTGTGGTCTAAAGGTACCAAACAGGTGGTGCTCATCGAGCTGACTATCCCCTGGGAAGAGATGATGGAGGAGGCCTATGAGCGCAAGCTCAATAAATACCAAGCCCTCATCCTAGAATGCCAGCAAAATGGATGGAAGACCTGGAATCTCCCAGTGGAGGTGGGCTGCAGAGGCTTTGCTGGTTGGTTGCTTTGGAGAGCCCTTGGACTGCAGGGAATTGAAGGGCTGGCCAGGAAGCGGCTTGTAGCCAATGCCACCAAGCGGGCGGAGGAGGCATCTCGCTGGATTTGGGTGCAGCGGGAGGTGCGGTGGCAGAGCTGTAGCACTGAGTGAGCAGAGAACTGAAGACAGAGTTGGGTGGCATTCAGTGGGGGTGGGTCCAGGACGCTGGACCTGCCGTTGAGCCCCTCCGAGGTGTCATGGGCTTAAATCAACGAAACACCAGTGAAGGGGGGTCCCCATTTGATAACCTGCTGAAGCTACCCAACTCCTATTCCAGTCACAGAGACTTAGGGGTGCCTTGAGGGGAGGAGACAGAGAGAGAGAGCGATGCCACTGGCCCACAGATGGTGCAGGGGCAAGTACCTGTAAAGGTGGGCCAGTTGCGATATCGCCTATTGTATTTTGCATATCATATGTTCGCAGACTATAAAACTTCGAAGAAGAACATATAGAACATAAAAATAACATGAAGTAACGCCACCTAAACCTAATCTGGTGAGTTTGTCTTGAAAGTTGAAGTTCTAAAAATGAGTAGTGTAACTAAATTAATTTGCTGATTTTTCTACAATAAAGCAGACAACATCAGACCTGATAAAGCAATGGCTGCAATGCAGCCATTTGGAAGATGCTGACCGAGGAGCCTGGAGCTCATGATGATGGCGAGTTTCAGATTGAGCGAATCCACCAGGCCTTCGTGCCGTTTCCCAAACCAAATCAAGCCCCTAGGCCAGGGCTAAAGCGCTGTGAGATAACTGTTGTTGTGATGTGGCACTATATAAATAAAAATCTAATTGAATTCAATTGTTCCTGAAGTAGAGTTCCTGGATCCCTCCCCTACAATAGGACCCCCTCCCAGCGAGGGTAAATTCCACTTTCTGACAACGCCGGGAAGACAGGCAAATCTACCAGAGTGACTGCGCGGCAGCACACAGCTGCAGACAGAGGAGGGACGAAGAGACGATTCTGAAGTCCACTACCAAGATCAGGTTGGGTGCGCTGACTCCCCAGGAGATGATTACTATGACCCAGTTTGGGGGAAGGACAGTGTCAGTAGCTTCACATAGTCGAACCGGTTGAAGAACTGCCCAGTGCGCTTGCCGATGACCCAGCCTCCTAGCTGTCCTGATGTTCAGTGGGGCAAAAAAGTATTTAGTCAGCCACCAATTGGCCTCTTAAAGATACAGGTTACAGGTCTGTGAGAGCCAGAAATCTTGCTTGTTTGTAGGTGACCAAATACTTATTTTCCACCATAATTTGCTAATAAATTCTTAAAAAATCAGACAATATGATCTTCTGGATTTTTTCTCCTCATTTTGTCTCTCATAGTTGAGTTTACTTATGATGAAAATGACAGGCATCTGTCATCTTTTTAAGTGGGAGAACTTGCACAATTGGTGGCTGACTAAATACTTTTTTGCCCCACAGTAGGTCAGATTAGACAACACAAGAAACGGCTAACCAGTGTTTCCACTCCTTTAAGGAAGCTTGAAGCAACTCCCCGTTCCCAATGTCATAGTTTTTCTCTGTGGGGGGTCTGGTAGAGAAAGCACCAGGGCGATCATGAACTGCATCTTGAGAGCCGATAATGGGCTCCGCCTGCAAAGACCAAGAGAACCACAAATGCATGGACTAGTTTTTCTGCATCATTTTTACACAGGATGATCCTGATATTTGCAATATGATGTGGTTGAAAGAAGGCGGTTTTCTTGAAATTTGCCTGATGGGAGATTTAAACAACATGTCCTGATCAAAGATTGCGCCAAGGTTTCTCAGAGTGGTGTTGGAGGCCAGGGGGATGCCATCTAGGGATAATGCGTCACGGTGGTGCCTAGAACAATAACTTCAGTTTTATCTGAGTTGAACATTAGAAAATTACAGGTCATCCAGGTTTTGACATCCCGAAGAAACAGTTGAAGCTTAGCTAACTGATGAGTTTCATCTGGCTTGATCGAAAGATATAACTGAGTATCATCTGAATAACAATGAAAGTTCATGGAGCACAGATCCTTGTGGAGCTCCATGACTAACTTCAACTTATGCATGGAGGACTCATCCTTAACATGCTGATAAATAGGACCTAAACCAGTTTAGAGCGGCTCATCTAATGCCAATGAAATGTTCCAGTCTCTGTAATAGGATCTGATGGGCAATGGTACCAAATACAGAAGTAAGATCTAATGAAACCAATACAGAGACCGGTTCTTTGTCTGATGCAGTTAACAGGTCATTAGTAATTTTTACCAGTGCTGTCTCTGTGCTATGATGAGCTCTAAATCCTGACTGAAAATCTTCAAACAAGATATTGCTATGTAGATAGTCACACAGCTGTTTAACGACTGCTTTCTTCAGGACCTTAGAGATAAAGAAAAGTTAGATATAGGTCTATTGTTGGCTAAAATATCTGGGTCCAGGTTGGGCTTTTTCAGAAGAGGTTTGATTACAGCTACTTTAAAGTACTGTGTCACATATCCTGTTGATGAAGCCGGATTGATCACATCTAGTAGAGAGGTGCTGACTAAGGGTAAGAGTTCTTAAAGCAACCTAGTCAGGGTGGGGTCTAAGAGGCAGGTTGATGGTTTGGTTGAAGAAATTATTAAAGTTAGTTGGTAAAGATTAAGGGAAGCAAAGCAGTCAAAAAATAGAACACCTTTTACACATGTATCTAAGGTTCCTGAGTTTGGAGATAAGTCGGTGCCAGTTGAGGGCAAGTCTTGGTGGATTTTGCTTCTAATAGCTAGAATTCTATTATCAAAGAAGCTCATGAAGTCGTGGCTAGTGATAGCTATGGGAATACTTGAATTGATAGAGCTGTGACCTTCTGTCAGCCTGGCTACAGTGCTGAAAATAAACCTGGGATTTTTCCTATTTTCCTCTATTAAAGACAAGTAGTACACTGCTTTGGCCTTCCTATAAGTCTTAAGAATATCCTGGCACCAAACGTGGGGCCAACAAACAAAGAAAGAAATGACAGAATCACAGTAGCCGATTACCACACTGGTACAAATGCTGGCAGTTGATCACCATAACCATGTGCAGCTGTGATACATCCTGGTAGTCGCAGATCTCCAAAAACAGACAAAGAGACATACATACACCCTGGAATGAAGACACTGTTCTCCCTCAGTTCCAGACTCCAGCTGCTATGGGCGCTGCTCCGGACCCACAGTGGGTTCTCAGGCAGCAGGGCAGGAGTGCTGGATATGTGGACAGTCCGGCCATTTTTGCTGTGAGTGCCCGCTGATTGGAGTTGAGCCAGTTGATTCGGGAATTCGGCCCTCAGTCCACGAAGGATATGCACTGTTACGATAAAGATTCAGGGGGGTACACACCGGGTGATGGTGGATTCGGGCTGCATCTAGTCCGTAGTTCATCAGAACCTGATCTGACCCGGGGCTTTATGGGAGGCAGGGTTGGTGGACATCAGGTGTGTACATGGGGATATTTACAGATACCCTCTGGTGCCAGTAGGAATTTGTTATGTGGCGAAGAAAATATAGTATAGGCAAGAATGATGGGTCTATCCGGTTCTGTATAGACTACCACAAGGTGAATGGCGTTTCACAGTTTGGCGCTTACCTTATGCCCCAGGTTAATGAACTCCTGGATCGCCTGGGTACGGCTCAGTTTTTTACGATGCTGGATTAAACCAAGGGCTACTGGCAGATTCCCCTATCTTCAGAGTCCAAGGAGAATATGGTCTTCTCCGCTCCATGGGGGTTGTCCCAATTCGTCCCAATTCTGTTCAGGTTGTTTCGGGGCCCTAGCCACGTTTCCAAACCTCATGGACCAGGTGCTACGCTCACATGCTGCATATGCCACCTACCTGGATGATGTTATTATCCACAGTAACACCTGGGCAGAGCATGTGCAAGCGGGTGACCATGGTGCTCGAGTCACTGAGGCAGGCAGGTCTCACGACCACCCCAAAGAAGTGTGCAGTTGGACGGAGGGACATACTGTATCTGGGGTACCACTTTGTTGGTGTGGGCAGGTTTATTGGGGGGCTGGCCAGCTATTACTGGCGATTTATTTCCAACCAGCCCCTTGACCGGCCTCACCTGAAAGGGTGCCTCGGATCCGGTTCAGTGGATGGAGCAGTGCCAGGTGTTGCTTGAGAGGATAAAGCATACCCTCTGAAAGGAGCCTTTTCTTCACACACTTCTAACTTCTCTCTCCATTTTGTCCTGCAGTGTGATGCATCAGGCAGAGGGCTCGGGGCAGTTCTGTTCCAGCAGGCGCAGTGTGTCGACCGCTTCGGTTCTTTACCATCCGGTGGGCAGTCGATGCTCTGCAGTTCTACCTGCTCGGACCCCTACAGTGGCTCCACCACATGAAGGATGCCAACGCAGGAATCACCCGTTGGTATCTGGCTTTACAGCCATTTATGGTCGTGGTGGTCTATAGGCCATGGTTGTGGCCGGCTTTCTCTCCCGTTTCCATGGGGTTAGGCCCGGATGGCTCTTACTCCCTAGGATAAGTCAGGCGGTGGAGGTATATGGAGGTGGCGTGGTGCTCAGCTGCAAGAGAGAGGGGTGGGGAAGGTTCTGGGGAGCAATGCCAGGGGAGGTGATTAGCACACCAGGAATTAGTTGTCCAATCACTCTCCCCACTTTAAACAGTAGCGCAATGGACCTGGAGACACGAGGAGCAGGCAGTGGATCAGGAGACAGCCTGGATCAGCTCCGAAGGTTGTGCACGTGTGCATGTGTATGTCTAAATAAAGGACTATTTACTATTTACTATATACAAATCTATTTGTGCAGACAACGTCATTTTCTTTACTACGCTGTCTACAAATCTCAAAAATTTAATTAAACATACAAATCTTTGGGGTTTTTTCTGGGTACATTAATAATCATGGCAAGTCATCCATTTTGTTTCTAAATAATGAAAAAAGACTCAATCCAATTCACATTGAACTCGCAAGGGGGGGTTTATTCATCTGGGCGTCAAGATTACCCCTGATATTTAAGATGTGGTTAACTATTAGATGTTCAAAAGTCAATAGGTATGGATGAAAATGGAAATTTCGATGCTAGGACATATAAACATCATTAAAATGAGCATTTTGCCTACATTTTTATATTTCTTCAAACCATACCACTTTCGTTAACAGATTCTAAGCACTGGACATAAAACGACAGCTGTATGGCGTCTGTGCTTTTGCTGGATCTTGGGGGTACACAAAGCCCCTGAACAGTAGGGGTGAGTTATTTCTCAGCTAAATTGGATCCTGTGTCTGCGTGGTTACGTTTTAGCTCCTGCTGTAGCAGTGAAAGCTGGGGTAGCATCACATCACATAGGCTACACATGATGCTGATCAGGACAAGTTTTTTTTTTTAAATATATATCCCATCCTGGATAGCTGGCAGTTAAATAAACTTGGGTAAGTTTATTGACTTAAAAGTTTTATCTTTCCCAGTTGGTCATGCATACAAAACTATTGCTGTGTCTAAGAAAATTACCATTTCAAGGCGGTTTTCCCCCATGAAAAAGGGAAACAAAATGTAAGGCAGTTTGAACCAAAATAGTATTGTATAGAATAAAATAGAAGTTTGCCTTTGCTGTCGTTGCACATGTACAAAGCAACGAGTACATGATATCCATGAATATGCTATAACTGTAAGTATACTGTATACAGGTTATAAATGTACAGACTATAAACAGATGTAGATTATCCATACAATATGTACAATAGTGAGCTGACAGATGAAAGTGCTATGAATATACAGTCCGTTTTTGTTGTTCAGATGTCAGGAGTGAGAAACTTGTGAGAAAACTCTACAAAAACTCTACAAAAAAGAAACTGAATGTATCCACACTATCTTGTGTATGGTAAGAAGCATAGTTCATTGACGGTTCATTAACATAAACTCTACCAAGTGTAAGACAGATGAAAGATAAATAATGTTAACAAACCAGAAACTACTGCATTTACTCATCCATTTGAAAAGATCTTTCGAACATTTTTATCACATCTTTGTCAGCTCCCCTTGCATTCAATCTGCCTTCAACACCTGTCCTTTTTATTTCTTGTTCCTTCTCTCAATAGATTGGCTTTTAGCTATTTTCTTTGCTTCCTGGAAAGGTTGTCTAAGCACGTGTTCCACTAATGTCCAGTTTGGAACTATCCGCATCAGGAGATAATTGGCTGCCATTGAAGCCCCCCCCCCTTTAGGCCAAAATGTTTTTCAGTGGAGAACTGAACATAGATAAAAGGGAAACGTTACAGACTTGCAGCAGTGAAAGTCAGAATAATATGCATATCAATACAGTCCCTTCAAAGTAAATGATGACTCTCAATTATTAGGCCAAGTTTTAATTAAGATGAGAGTAATGTAATTATTGCCCCTGACAGGGATGATTGAGCCAGGGAGTCTGTGCTCTGATTAAGGCACCTGTCTGAAAGTTTTCTGCTCTATGGAGATTATAAAGGCATGACCTCCTGTTGTTGAAATGTGGCTTGCTGGGAAGGGACGAGCCCTGTGTTGCTGTTATGTTGCTTCTGTTTCAGTCATTACTGTGCTTTTCATTCCTCTTCCGCTTCCAACTGTTTGCTGTGTGTTTTGTTGCTGTGGATGTTTTACCATTCGTTAGTAGCCAGCAGCATCTTCTGTGCTGTTTTGAGTGCAGCAGATGCCAAGAAGATCAGCAGGGTCATCAAGATGGCTAACTCCGTATTGGAGGTCCAACTGGATTCTTTGTTGGCGGTGTGTGAGAGGAAGATGCTGTGCAAACTGGAGCATATCTTGGACAATAATACTCACCCTCTCCACCAGGTGCTGACCTCAAGCAGAAGCACCATCAGCAACAGACTCATAACCCCTGAGTGTAACACAGAAAACCAGAGGAAGTCCTCTCTTCCTGTGGCCATCAGACTGTTTAATTGAGCTGCCTCTGGCTGAGACAGGAATAGTCTATATACTATGGCCTGAAACAAACGATTTATCACTTTATGATTTGTCACTTTATCATTTTTCATTTCTCTGTTTATTACTTATTTGTTGTGTTTTACGCTGCTATAATTGATCACTTTTCACTTTTATCACTAATTTTAAATAACTGCTCGCTATTTTGATTGTATTTCTTTTCAACTTTGTATTGTACGTTTTGCACAGCATTTTCACTCGGGATAAATAAAGATTTTTAACCCTTTAAAGCCTGCTCCAAGAATGAAACAAAACAGAAAATAACTTTTTTTGGGTTTGAATTCCTTATTTGGCCTTTTAAAAAAATATGTAAAAAGAAAAAACAGAAATACATTTTTGATATCAATAATTCCTTACTATGCGATAAGTCAAGATTATTTTTGTGTAGTCTTCTGCCCCCTGTTATCAGGTGTATCTGATTGTGTACAATAGGATTTTGAGCAAAGTTTTTACCATTAAATTATGCAAATGGTGTCGGACGCAAAACATTTCAGAAACCTTATGTATCAAATATGATACATTTGGCATTACGGGGTTAAGTCTTGAATCTAAATCAAGATCCCTGCTGCATGGCCTGTCTGGTGACATCAAGGTGCTTACCAATTAAAGTCGAAACCCTTTAAATATGGATAACCATGAGGGCCACGCTGTTTTGAATGAGACTGAGAAAGGTGCTTATGAACTGGAAAATATCCCAGTGGCTATTCATATATGAGACTACTTCAGACCACTTCAGCACACAGTTCAGTATGTCAACCTATCCCCATCTTCCTTCGATTCCGAGGAAGATTATAGATGAAGATTCCAATGATAATGCTTTACTCTCACTAGAACAAGTACTCCCTTCTCAAACCCGCAGTGGGGAAGATTATTCAAACCAAAGCCCTTAAAATCCTGCTCTTTCCCCCATTGAACCAGCAACCAGCCAGGCAACAGCATGGCGGTAAAATGGATCAGGAGATTGCAGACAACCCTGCACAGCATCAGACATATCCCCCACTACCTATTCCTCACCCTCTCCCTCCTGTGACTAGTTAATAATAACTAGTGAATAATAACTCAGAATAATACTTGACACAACTTCACATATGACCGCTAATTCTCTGAATATTGCTTTGCAAATTGCCATGCCATTAGCCTAAGGTTTCACTTATCACAGGAAAGTTTTTTTCCCCTGCTTTTCTCCTCTGAACAGTATCTCAAGTATTCAGAGCCACAATTAGGTGTGATCAGGTATCTCAACCGTTCAAACGCTACGGAGCCTCTTGCTGCAGAGTTTTACTATGCAAAAATCAAAGAAGTTTGGTATTTTAATAAAAAACAGCTCCATTTTTGAAGGGAATATCCAGACCTTTTTTAATGGTAAGCAGGAAGCTTCAGGCTACCTGGCTGAAGAGACGGATAAGGAGAGCAGGTAAGAGTATGTAGCAAATTACAGACTTAATCAGGGCATCCATCTGAATAAGAACAACATTTAGGCGAACACCGCTCAAAGACAGGTGGCAAAACTGTGTTTGAACAGCTTTTGGGGGAAATTTGCACAGAGAAATGTGTCAAACGGCTATCGATAGCGACCCAGATTTATTTTTTAACTTCCGGTTCTCTGGCAAATACACGGTCAGTTACTTCCACTTTCTCAACCCTGAAATGTTTATGGTTCAGTGAAAATACAGCTGCATCTCTCCTCCCAACAATGTGACGTTCTGGCACTGGAGCTGGCTCCACCTACCGTCTCTCTCTTGCTCAGCCTCCACACTCCGCAATCAACCGTATTGGAATCACCTGTCACCACATACTCTTAAGCTCCGTCCCATCCAGCCTCCAGTGCCAGAACCAGTGTTGGGGAGTAACGGATTACACGTAACGATGTTACGTAATTTAATTACAAAAAAAGAGTAACTGTAATTCGTTACAGTTACAATGAGAAAATATGTAATTGAGTTACAGTTACTTTAGAAAATATTAAGAATTACAAATTTAGTTACATTCTTTTAAAAATATAAAGAAAAACCTTTGCAAAATATGCAACTCACTGATAGACGAAGCGTATTGATTTACTAATATTTGACTGTTTGGTGTTGATGCATGACAAACGTTTATCGATGTCTATGACCTAGCCTAGCCTAGCCTAGACTACCTAGCCTACCCAACTGTAGGGTGACCAGACGTCCTCTTTTTCCTGGACATGTCCTACATTTAGACTGGGGTTGTCAAAAGTATCGATGCTTAAAAAAGTATAGATACGAAAATGTTGTATCCGGATACGACTGACCTGCCGTCGCTGCGCCCCTTGTCTCCGATTTATTTATGTATTTATTTACGTTGTTTATAATCATTAACAAGACGTTAGCCTTGAACTGCTAGCTACATGCTAAAATTAATCATGGCTCAATACTCATTAAAACCTTAAAGTAATCAAAAAGTAATCAAAAGTAATTAGTTGCATTACTTTTTAAAAGTAATTGAAAAAGTTACACTACAATTACATTTTAAACAAGGTAACTTGTAACTGTAACGGATTACATTTTTAAAGTAACTTACCCAACACTGGCCAGAACGTCTCGAGCCATTTGGTAAGAACTTCCAGCGATTTCCTAGTTATTCTGCCTGCCTGATTCCAACCTGTTTTGCCTACGATTCCCGAGTCTGCCTGATCCCTGTCTGACCTGTCCGCCTGCCTGAGTTCTGCTTCGCCAGTCTCTGGATCCTGTCTGCCCGCCCGTGTACGGACCCCGCCTGCCCGTGACTCCGAGTTCCTGCCTGCCCCTTTGGACTACTTCCCTGGCTCTGACCCTTGACCGGACCTGGACCACTGTTTGGATTACCCCTGGTACCATCGCTGGAATTGGATTACCTGTTGCCTATCCTGGACTCCCCTGACCACGCCCCCGGACTGCCCCACGTTCCTGAAATAAACTCTGTTAACTGACCGTTCCGTCTCTGGGTGTATTTGGGTCCAAATCAGTTCGTTACAAACAAGGTACAAAATGTCTTTATCGTTGCATTCACCACTGCTTATGCATGCTTGAAACTTTACAGCTGCCTGGAGCGAATGCAGGAGATTATCCATTGATTGTTGATTATTGATTCATTGATTACTATACATTGATTATGACAGCCTCATCTATGTGGTTAAAGAGGGAGAGACCCCCTTTGAGCTGGGAGGTGACACAATTCAGGAATTTGTAGCAGCAACTACCAACACAGGTAAAAGAAATCCAAACACTTGTAATGCAGCATTGTCTGTGCCTGCCGCCCAGAGCATAGCAGAAAATTACAAAATGTTTTGAAACACTCACCACAATATTAATGTTGCTTGGTAACACTCACGTACATGAAATGCGATTTACAAATAAAGCATTAGCCATTCTTAGCAACTACTGATGTGTAAAAAAGAGTGTTAGCAGCAATCAAGACACAGCATGCTCCATTTGTTGTCCAGATTGCATCGGAAAAGTGGGTGGAAGTGTCCCCACGAAAACAACTCGGAATCCAGTCTGCTCTGTGTCAAAATTTCTGCTTGGTGCTGCACACACCCCACTTTCCATATGTGTGAAATAACAAAAACCCTTGAGTTACATGACACATTCAATAGTGTGGATGGGGCATGGTGTTCAGCTGCAGGAGGGGAGGTGTGGGGAAGGCTCAGGGGGGCAATGCTAGGGGAATTAGCACACCTGGAATCAGTTGGATGATCACTCTCCCCTTGTTTAAACAGCAGCATGCTGGACCTGGAGGGAGGAGGAGCGACACCAAAGCAGGAACCAGCCGGGTCCAGCTCCGAGAACCCACGTGTGCGCGTGTAAACATATGCCCAATAAAGGTTATAACAATAAAAATCTGGGTCTGCAAGTGTGTTGAGGCACCCACTGTGGCTAAGGCTGCCATAAGTAGATAAATTGGAAAACATATGAAAGTGTAAAATTTTGTGGTGTAGCACACACTCCAACAAACAGAAGTGGCTCCCGACACTTGCTATCTGTAATTTAATCTTTCATTAGCTGCACAAACCTAATATACAAACAGTAAACTAATTAACTCTTCAAAAATATTGCTTAACACCCATGTTTCAACGTGCCAGGATTATCATTCAGTAACACTGGACGGAATAAGTGGTTGAGAAATATGTAGGCAGGATGATAAATGCTGATGGGAATTAACAAAAGTATGGCTGTTGGTATTAGTAGTTATAAAGTGTGGGCTGAGTTTCTACTGCTTTCGCAGTGGCAGGGGGGCTCGTGGGTTCCACTACCTCCCTGTCTGAGTTATTGTTGTGCCCTTAAAAAGGGAATAGTAACGGGAGAATGATGAGGAAAACGCACACGCGGCTCTTTCCTTCACTCGTCTGTACTGAATCTTATTTTAAGCAATGCATACAAACAACAGACAAATATATACATACGCACACCCAGCTTTAGGACCACAAACATCATGTTTTAAATTATCCAAATTATTGTTTTACCTGAATAAACACAACATGTAAATTATACTTTCAACAAGCTAAGTTATCATGGGACATTTGAATAATGAAATGTATTTTTAACTTGACTTCATTAATTTACGTCGTTATGACATGAACTAGACACAAATATATTTATATATATATATATATATATATATATACTGTATATGAAACAGGAACAAGCTTAAACACCAATGTCAACATTCAGACTCCACGGCGTGGCCACGAGGTATCCGTCTGCTAGCTTACACGTCTGAGTTAGCGAGAAACTAAACAACAAATAAATCCAAAAAAACATATTTTCCATTCATTTACAGCCAGAGTAACATAAGGAAAAATGCTTTCATGAGTTTACAATCCCCTTACTGGAGCCCCGAGGCATTACCAACAGATCGACGAACCATTAAACCACACAGATAAGGATCTGTATCATAAAACGTGTCACATAATAAGCGTGGGAGAACTTTTCCTAATCACAAGGATGAGGTATGTCACATTCTGCTGTCTTTTCATTTTGTGTCTCACAAAATGAAATTAGAAATTAGAGAAACTTTAACACAAAATGTAGTTATAAAAGGAATAAAACAATCAGTAATTTACATATATCATGTGATAGCATACAATGCTCAAGTGAGTTATTAAAGCCAAATTCTAACACATAGTATTGTTTGCCTTTGCTGCTGGACTGTTGACTAGCATTAGCTGTCTAGTGTGCCTCAACCATGCTTTTTCTCCACTTTTCTCATGGAATTTGTAAAATTTTACTGGAGGATCTTCACTTGTGGTCTTAGAGATTTTGGTCTGGTGAGTTTGGCTTTACCTCAACTAGCTTATATGGAAGTCTTGCTATACGTATACACTGTAGTATTTAACAAAGCCAAATAGTGTCTCGACATCCCTTACAGTCTGTGGAGATTTTTCCCTCAATGTCTGTACTGCCTCCGCATCTTCAAGATCCACTCTCACCCCATCAGCAGACACCAAACGACAAATATTTCACTTCCTTGCAAAATAATTCACACTTTTCCAGTCTTAACTTGACTCCATGGTGCTGTAGGGAAAGACCTCCTGTATGGTCGTGACAGATGTCCTGTCTTGGATCTCGGAGGAAGAGGATTTTCTGCTTTAGTCCAATCATTCGGTACAGGAACTGTTGTCGTTGTTCTTGCTCATTTTGTTTTGCACACATTAGTTCCTGGAACAGTTTTGTACAGGCCGTCTCAATGAGAGGGGATCTGAGGAAACCCTTGAGTTTACAGATTGTTATTTAGTCTTTACGGGGTGAACATGTCCTTGAAAGCACCTGGCTTAATAATTCCCAGCACGTTTTGAATAGACTCTGTCTCTGTAAATCCCTCCCTGACTGTTTGAGATGCTGTTGCATCTTGGTCTGCAATCTGTCCTCCCTGTATCTTGAATTCTCCGTGCTGAAGGAAGGGAAGGTCCATGAAAGAAACTATTTTCTTTGGGTTAACACTTTGTGGTATGTGGTTTTGAAGCAGGTGTCAGGTACAGGGGTTGGACAATGAAACTGAAACACCTCTCAGTTTAGTGTGGGAGGTTTCATGGCTCAGTTGGACCAGCCTGGTGGCCAATATTCATTAATTGCACATTGAACCAATAAGTACAGACTGTGAAGGTCCAATTAGCAGGGTAAGAGCACAGTTTTGCTCAAAATATTGCAATGCACACAACATTATGGGTGACATAAAAGAGTTCAAAAGAGGACAAATTGTTGGTGCACGTCTTGCTGGCGCATCTTTGACCAAGACAGCAAGTCTTTGTAATGTATCAAGAGCCACGGTAATGTCAGCATATGTAGAGGGTTCAGATATTTATTGCCTCTATTCAAGTTTTTATTAAAAAAAAACACCCCCCATTTTTCTTTAAGATCATAAGAACTATTCGGAAACATTAATTAACACATTTCAAATTTTACTTGGTCATCCAGTCAGTAGATGGCGCTCCTGTGAGTGAATGACCAAAACGAGGAAACTACGATAGTCTATGCCCACGCATGCGCAGTCAAAAATAAATCGCTGCTAGCAGAGCAAAGCACGAAATATTAACGTGTTTGTCCTCGTCATTCACAGGTACTATTATTTTCTCCCAAACATTCCTCAGAATGTTAAAATGAATACGAACTGTCAGTGACATGTTTTGTGATGTTTTGAGCGTCTGATATGTGAATCGGGACGAGTAGTTTAATAGCTTTGTCGAGTGAATAATGGTTTCCCGCCAGTAGTTTTTCCCTGTGCTACTACAAAGAGCATACGTGTGTGTGTGTACATGCACGTCCATGCGCGTGAACATGAACGCCGTTTTTGGTTTACTGAATTTGTATTTTTTGTGTTATTCGGGTTATACAAGCTAAAGAGATTTATTGCATTTTGAGCCATCTTGTGTGAAAGTGAAAGACTGTTGCACTATATTTTGATACGGAAAAGTATTTTGATGTTATTGTAATATTATTGTGATTTTTTGAGACAAAGAATAGTTTCATATTATGGAAGTTAACCATAATGGTTGAATGTTTTGTTGAATGTTATACTGTTACACAGTCAATAATAAATCGCTGCTAGCAGAGCAAAGCACGAAATATTAACGTGTTCGTCCTCGTCATTCACAGATCCACAGGCACACCGCCTGTGTATAACTTGTGCCGACCCAGATTTCTCCTAGGTATCAACTCGACTACAGCACCCATGGACAGTCAGCCACTGTTTTCACCCAGGGAAGACGTTCACACACCTCAACCGACCACGGATAGGGACGCTAATGCACCTGCCAGGAGCCTTGCCACTATGTCGCCCGCTAGATTCAGCGCAGGCGGTCCCCTTCCTGGCCGTGCCGGTCCGCTTTCCAGTGTTGGTGAGCAAGTTGTGAAATTCACAGATGTAGCTGCTCTGCTTCCACGCAGAGAGTTTAAAATTTATGGTGGTCAGATTTCTGACACAGGGTCTGAAGTGTCTTACAGTAGCCTGTGTAAACAAATGGATCAAGGTCTACTAGAAGGGTTTAGTGAGTCAGAGGTTATGCGCACTGTGCTTAAGATAACTAAACATGGTACATTCAGGGAGATGCTAACTAGCAAAGATGACCTTACCATGAGTGAGTTGAAAAGGTTTCTCCGCTCCCATATTAGAGACAAAAACAGCACAGAGCTCTTCCAGGAGCTTAGTACCGCTAGACAGCAAGACAAAGAGGGCCCACAGCAATTCTTTTATTGTATTATGGGTCTAAAAGAGAGGGTTATTTTTTTTTATTTTTTTTTTTAAAGATTTTGTTGGCTCTAGTGGCCTTTAATGACAATAGCTTGACAGGAAAGGGGGCAGAGACAGAGAGGGGGAGACCTGCGGGAAAGGGCCATGGGCTGGAATCGAACCCAGGACACCCGCTTGTAAGCGGAGGCTCCGCATATGGGCCGCCCGCTAGGCTACGGCTGCGGCGCAAGAGAGGGTTATTTTTTTGTCAAAACAGCCAAGTGCACATTTTTGTTATGACAGAAAGCTTGTCCAAGGTACCTTCCTTCACACACTGTACCAAGGTTTAAATGAGAAAAATAACCACGTCAGATGTGATCTGAAACCTTTCCTCACAGACTGGCAGGTTACTGATGACTTTCTCCTAGAACAGATCACCAGGTCCACTAGTGAGGAGACGGACAGATTGAAACGACTTGGTACAGCGACTAAAACCCGACCAGTGTCTGTAAATGCAGCTCAGTCTGACCAGACTAAACATACTGACCGGATTAAACAGACCAATGTTGACACTGAGTTACAGGCTAACCGTGCTGCTATCCTAGAACTGACTGCACAAGTGACCTCGATGGCCCAACACTTTGCTTGCGTTGTCAAACCCTCAGAGCCTGTTACCAATGTGAGCCACTGTCCCCCCTCCACCCGATCCCCAAATCGACCCCAGGCATCGGCTGAGAAAAGGGGCAGGTGTCAGGACTGCGTGCAAAAGAACATTGGGAGCTGTCCGCACTGTTTTGTTTGTGGCCAAGAAGGACACAGAGCAGTTGGGTGTCTACAAAGAAAGGCATCGGGAAACGAGAAGAGGTCATAGGAGTGAGGCTGCCAGTTACAAGCCTCCAGTACAGGTTAACTCTGTTGAAGCCGTAGACCGAGTAAATCCAACCACACTGCAGTCCCAGCGATCGCCCAGGAAACGTGTAGCACAACTAATTGGCAAGCGATGTATGGTCTCATGTGCAATCAATGGGGTCCCACTCCAAATGCTGCTTGACTCAGGGGCTCAGGTGACCATGGTAGGGAGGGCATGGGTAGAGAAAGCATTGCCCCGTGTCAGTATACAGCCACTCTCATCCCTATTCCCAGACCAACCCCTTGAGATATCTGCAGCTAATGGCACAGCGGTTCCCTTTGATGGATGGGCTTATGTTGACCTTCAGATATGCAGTGAGAGCCATGGACATGCGGACATGCAGGTACCCATATTAATAAGTCAGAGTTGTGTTAATGGTCCGCTCTTAGGCAGTAATGTCATTGCAGAGATGATCAAAGAGAGCAAAGAACAGATGGATATTTCTGCCATACTTAAGGAAGCCATGAGTGTCAGCGAAAGCACGGTGGAAACTCTGATCTCCGTCCTCCAAATCATGGCCCCTGACGAAACACCTCCCCCGTGCACTGTGCGAGTCGGAAAGAAAGGACAGACAATCCCTGCTGGTCAAATCTGTGAGGTGAAGTGCAGAGTCAGAGCCTGGCCCCAGGGCGGAACGAGCCTAGGCCAGAGAACATCTGCCCTGAGGGTTTGGACCCCTTTCCCAC